ACTTGGAGCACCCTTTTTAATGTGCGCGGATGTTCTGAATAAATTGACTTTTTTTTTTAAATTGATCTCAGACAATATTGCAAATGGATAAACTGAATGTAAACAGATTATAAATAGGAATAAAGTAAATGCATAACCTATACAAATGGGTTCTATGTTCCCCACTTAACCCTGCAAAAAAGGTTCTATGTTCCCCGCTTACACAAAAAAGGCTCTATGTTTCCCGGGTTCTATGTTTCCCGCTCAGCCAAGCGGGAAACAGAGAACCCTTTTTGTGTGAGCAGGGAACATAGAAGCTTTTTTTGCAGTGTTAAGTGGGGAACATAGAACCCGGGAAACATAGAACCCTGGAAACATAGGGATGACCCCCAGCCAAATACCCACAGAGTAAAAGGCAGGTCCTGAAAAGTCGGCGGAACCGAAAGAACAAGGTCATCAGATACCCGGCTGGTATAATAAGCTGGCCAAAGGGGGAGACAGACGCCACTGATATCAAGACGAAACAGCTTCTCACAATGCATGCAGGGTTTCACCCCAAATCCAGCACCCTGAGACTGTACACTAAGTGTAGCGAAGGGGGCCAAAGACTAGTAAGCATCAGAGCCGCTTTCCAGGACGCAACAACGATGAGCTGCTAAGTGAATTCCTCAGGCAGCAGAAACCCAAGAATGCAGAAGACAGTCACCGGCTCAAGCCTCCATCCGGACCAAATATGGAGAATGGACTGGCAGCTGCAGAGGAACCAGTTTGCCTCCTGGACATTGCCAAAGTGCTATTGAGCAAGGCGCAAACCCCCTAACTGATCATGCCACCCGTCCAAGGGCAGCCCCCTCGCTCTGACATCTCTCCATTTAATGCATGTATAGGTCCTATTTGTGCATGTGTGTGTATTTCAGGCCTGTGTGTGTATTTCAGGCCTGTGTGTGTATGACACCAGAGTGAAAAAATTGAATTTCCCTTTTTCTCCTTCTTCAACTTCTTACCTTCAAGCAAAACAAATGTTTCTGATTAACTGGAGTGCAGCTACTGTAATTTGTTTTGAACATGCTTGAATTAATTTCCCCCAAACTACACATTTCTGTGGCATAATGTTTCTACATCATGACGTCAGATGTGAAAAGATCAGATTCAAGTCAAAGATTTTGACCAAATACTGTGTTTTGGATTTGAAGTGTAGCTTTGCAGGAATAATTCATTCACTAGAAAGGACCACGCCTAAAACTCAGGAGGTAGAGCTGGAGGTAGCAGAGAAGAAGATGTTGAGGTTCTCTTTGGGAGTGACGAGGATGGATAGGAATGAGTACATCAGAGGGACAGCTCATGTTAGATGTTTTGGAGAGGTCAGACTGAGACGGTTTGGACATGCTCAGAGGAGGGATAATGAATATATCGGTAGAGGGATGCTGAGGTTTGAACTGCCAGGCAAGAGGCCTAGAGGAAGACCAAAGAAGAGATTTTTTGGATGTTGTGAAAGAGGATGTGAAGTCAGTTGGTATGAGAGAAGAGGATGCAGAGGATAGGGTTGAATGGAAGCAGATGATTCGCTGTGTTGACCCCTAAAGGGAACAAACGAAAGAAGAAGAAGAAAGGACCACGCCACAACAATATGTCATTCAAATGTTTAGTTGTAATTCAGGAGGTGTTAGTTGTTGAGGACTGGTGAATGGATGTAAGTGTGGGGTGAAGGTGGAAGAGGGATATCCTCTGATAGGTTGTTCTGGGAGGATGTACTGGAGATCAGACAGGGACACTCACGGCATTTCTCAATCTGCGTTCTTGCCTGTACTTGTGTTCTTGCGGACTTGTGAAACGTCATCAGTCACAGCCCAAGAACTGATCCAATTCAAAGTCCACATCCAGCTAAGTACGGTCCAAATGCCCGGATGTGGACTTGCTCTGCCCGTTCCATCGGGGATGCATCGGGAGGTGACAGACCAGCGGCAATGGCAGCTGTCCTTGGGAGTTTGTTCTCCCGGGTCGAACTTGCCAAGTCCGAACTCCCAAGTGCACAAGCCCAAACTTGGCATCTTTGGTATTGAGAAGCAGCTTCAGTGTGGGGGTTCCGTCTCAGGCATTTTTCCACCCGAGCTGATCACAGGCCCCCAGATGGTACCTAGAATGAGACGTTGGAGAGGTATGCACCAGATTGAATAGGAAGAGATGAGGGGAGAATGGAAGAAGGGTTGAAGGAATGTTGATAGGTGTGAGGTAGGGAGGATGATGGATGAAGGGAAGGGGAAGGGAGGATGGGTCGAGAATTCTGAGACAAACAGAGCGGGATGGGTTGATCAGGTATAAGTAGGCTTGGCAGGTAATTAGAGGTGTGGTTGAGGTGTGGCCCTGAACCTAAGTTAATGAATTAACTTTATTTGTTGTCACTAACTGAAATCAAACATCCTAGCTTGCTAGCTTAGCTAACTGACAGCAGACTGGATGCCTCACAGGGGAAGCAAATGAGCAATATCAACACAGGTGTGAATCTCCTCTCAATTAGAGCGGCAATATATTTCTGTTTTTACTGCACTGATGTGATCCTCATTCTGCAAATATTGTTATCTCTCTGCCCTTTGCACTGTGTTTACCCGCTGATACCATTTATGTTTATGACCACTGGATCCTGTGTGTGTGTGTGTGTGTGTGAGGGAGAGAGAGAGAGAGAGAGAGAAATAAATCAAGGAAGCAAATGACAGGGATCCTGATACTGGAGCGAACACGAGCCGGACACTTGTCGGGACAGTTGTGCCTTTCACAGCCTCTGTGAGACCTTTTCATCACATCTGGTATGTATCTGGCTGCTGTCATCCGATGTGTGTGTGTGTTCGGACTGTACTGAATATGCGAGTGCGTATTTGGCCCTTTTTGATCTTCAGGAAAACCATACGAACCTCTGACATCCGTGTTGTGTAATCTAAGTACATTTCAGTGAACCTGTGCTCGTACCAGCTGCAGTAATGACGATAAGAGGCAAACAACAAGATGAAAATAACTGTTATTTACACAGACAAAATGGCAAAATTGGTTTCTGGGACAACAGAAGGTAATTACAGCAACAGTGGGTATTTCACACTGAAATGTCACGACTGTATTTTGGTATCAGGAGAGATTTCTCTGGTTGATACTTTATGGCTGTGAGCTGAGTGTCTCCCATAGTTTCCCCTCACCGTTTATGGTTTTATTGCTGTACCACTTTACATTTCAGTCCTGTTTCTCTATAGTTAATGTACATGTGGTTCTGGAGTGTGTCTGCCACGGCTTGTGAAGTATTGGGGTTGTCCTCTTGTCTGAACTATGCTTCCAGGGTGTGGTAGTAGAGCACAGGGTAAAGTCCCTGTCATACGGATACACACACATTTGGCATCCACCATGTGCACGAGTGTTGTGTTTGGGCTGTGAAGCGCGCAGTACATGCTTTCGTCCACAAGATGGAGGGAGAGATCTGGATGCGTGTGAGTGTTTGGCTGCCAGACTAATGAATGGTCTTGTACTACAGGTGTGGTATGAGGGGACATTTAATTAGACAAGAGCTCTTTCAATGGGAGCACATAGTACGTCCATGTTTTACTTTGTTTTACTCCTTGTGATGCATTTTTACTATTGCTAAAGGGTCAGTATAGTATAAACTATTGTCCCCCTCATGCACACATACACACACGTACACTAACATCAACCTACACATCCTATTGTCACATTTTCTGCTCTTAAATGGATGCTATTATTTGCAGTTTTTTGTTGTTGCAATCAAACATATTTTGCTATTCGTAGTTTGTTATCACTTGTATTATTTTATGTATTGTTCTGTATCTCTCTGCACTTTTGAGTTCTTACTAACCTAACTCCCTACACTATATTTCATTATTCATTATTCTTTTTTCTTGCCTTTTTTTGTGTTTTAATTGTGCAAAAAAATTAACTATAACTATATGTGTGCGCTGAGGTTTTGGTGACACAATAATGATCAAGTTCTTGCTGTTTTTATTTTTCTATGTTGCGTTTTCTAAGCCCACAAGCACAATTCTTTTGTTTTTACCACTTATGTATGAGTCTATTATCTTTTTAACTATGCAGGACTCTGCACAAGTACATGCACAGGCACAGGCAGCTCATACGTGCACAGACACACACTGACAGCCAGAGAAACATGCAATACACACTGACAGTTTGGACAGAGAAGAGAAGGAAAAGCAAGGAGAACAGCAGAGAGTGTGAAATGATGAGATAATAGGCAGGACCAGTGTGTGTGTTTTCACCCCTGAGGACTCCTCCTACATCACCAAAAGTCCACAACTTTTTCTATCCAATGAGAACACCCTGTGGGAGGATCTCCTCACTGTGATTGGCCTGTAGTTTCACAGTCCCCTCCCTTCCTGAGCAGTTGGAGTGAGTTCCCTGATAGTTTTTTCTCAGCCACTCTAACTGAGTTCCAGAGCAGAAGGAGCGCAGGACTAACTGTCTGCTGCTGCTGCTGTACACTTCTTTGTCTGCTCAGCTGGAGACTGTGTGTGTGTGAGTGTGTGTCTCAGTACTGCGGGTCTATTCAGTGAAGCCAAGTGGGTTGATCAGAATAAGCCAGCATGTGGGCTGCACGTCCACAGAAAGAGCAGGTTGGTAATGTCTCCCTCTGTGTCTCTGTGTCTGCTCTGTTCTATTTGCGTCCATGGGCTGGGGGAGATCTGTGTCTCTGTGACACTCCTTGGGTTTGGGGTGTAAGTGGGATCATGTAGAGGAATGTACAGTATGTTTGCCTTTATGCTGTTTCAGTATGTTTGATGTTTTACTGCATGGCAAATATTTATCGAACATGACAAGGTGCATAGCTGTGGCTGTCTGCAACAAGTGGTGCGTTACCTGTTGTTAAAAGCTGCACAGGTGTGTTTGTGTGTGCCCCCCCCCTCCTCACACCCTGCTGTGGAAGTTAGTTGCTGCAGCTGGAATGTCATGGGAAGACTGGAGATATTTTGCTCGCCCTCTACTCCTCTCTGTCTCTCCTCCTCTGTTGTCTCTGCAACTGATACACATGATACTGACCTCTGGCATTCAGTAGTCTCCGTATGCACAGGCAGTAGCAGGAGCATGACCTCCATGCTTGACTCTGTTGTTGCGCCAGCACACACATGCAGTAAACTTTGTTGCTGTTATTCCTGCCTGGAGCTTTACAGTATGTGCATGTGTGTTTGACTGCATCGACCTGTGCTGTGTGGTGCTTTCTTGCTCAGGTCCTGATCTGTATCAATCATTAATCTGGACAGTGGGAGAATTTTAGTCCACTACCACCTTCTGTTCTTTCGTTAAAGTTATGTAACATGAGTTAAACCTTTGCAATATTCTTCGTGTTCTCAGGAAGGACTGGACAGGCTTGAAATATTTTTATCTTGGTAGACAGATAGAAATTTATTCCAGATGTGGACTACAGTTCACACAGTACAGTACGTTCCTGCCATATAGTGAACCCCTGTTAAAAACCCACAAACCTTGTTTTGAGTTTCCAACCACAGTCTGACTAATGATCATTTGTGGATAATTTAAACATCATGTTTAGGATTGTACAACATACATTGTTTCTGCATCATAAGACAGTTCGTATAGGAAGGATATTGGAAGCTAAAAGATTTCCATGAGATGCAAAAATAGAAGGGATTTATTTACATGGTGCAAAATATAACTCTACCATTTGGCACTCGGACCATCATTAGCACCTTGTTGCATCCGTATATATAATTCTCTATTCTATAATTCTCTATTTTTGTATCGTACGATACGTTTTGTATCGTATTAGCTTATTTTTGGCTTGTATACACTCCTGATTCATGTTCTGTGTTTATAATTCTCAGGCATTGAGGTCTAGGAAACTTTAAAGGTCCAGCAAATTTTAAAGGGTCGGTTAACACGATTCCAAAAATCATATTTCACGCTATGTCATTCATGGTATCTTGCCATGCAATGGAGGCAAACAGAATTTAGTTTGTGGTGCTCACATGTAGGGCTGAGGGGGTCATCCCTATGCTTCCAGGGTTCTATGTTTCCCGGGTTCTATGTTCCCCGCTTACCACCCAAAAAGGTTCTATGTTCCCCGCTCAACCAAAAAGGGTTCTATGTTTCCCGCTTGGTTGAGCAGGGAACATAGAACCCGGGAAACATAGAACCTTTTGTGTGTAAACGGGGAACATAGAACCTTTTTTGCAGGGTTAAGTGGGGAACATAGAACCCGGGAAACATAGATACACTCCCTTTGGCTGAGCGATACGGAGAAAATCAAATATCGTGATATAAATGCATCAATATCGTTATTGCAATGATATTATTCCGAAGCAATTGTTGACAAGTTTGACAGTTGGTGCTTTCAAGAAATATTCACGCAATGAAATTTTTGATACGTAATAATCAGTAATGTGGATATATTTATAGACAGAATCACAATTTTTGTGTACAGTTACTTCCAGGTAGAAAACCCTCATGTCACGCAGCTATTCAAATGAAATGGCGCTCAGCAAACACTGCCTCAGTTTGTTAGTTTTTAGTGATTTTGAAAAATATCCCACCTAAATATATCAGTTTAGGTGTACACTATATTTAGAATATTATAACATCTTTACAAAAATGGTCATTTTATTTCACATGACATTATTAGTCATTAGTCGCTGGTCTATCGCTACCTCAATTGGTTAGTGTGAAAGGCAGGGGTGTCAAAAATAAGGCCCGTGAGCCAGAACCGGCCCTCCAAAGGGTCCAATCCAGCCCACTAGATCACTAGACTAAGAAGTGCCAGGTTTCAGGAGCAAGGTAGACAATGTGTACTTTATGTGAAACTCTGCTTTGGAGGATTTTCCAACCTGACCAGAATACAGTTCACTGATGTAACAATGAATACTCACTGTGACCATGTTTAAAGATACTTAACATTGTGCAAAATATTGTCAATCAGCAGCTTCAGTTCAAAAGACTCTGTGTCAGGAAATGTATGAATAAATGCACATGAAGTGACAATGAGAAGTCGACCGACTGGATGTGGAAACACTGTGACATATTGTTGAAATTGCACTTCTTCTTCTTGAGACATCTCTGGCAATTCATCTGTTTTGTAAAAAGATGAACATGTGCAGAATGTACTTGTAACTCTTTACACAAAAAGAGGAATATTGGAGGTGAAGGTACTTGAAGGTTATTGTGCGATGGTTTCTTTGGTCCGGCCCATCAGAGATTAAATTGGGCTGTATGTGGCCTATGACCTAAACTGAGCTTGACACCGTGGTTGTAAGGTAAATCAGAGAGAGTATTCCAAATATAGCCTACACTGAAACTGATATTGATTTTCTTTAAGTGGGTGTTTGTATGTGGCTAAAATACGTTTTGCTGTGGCCCCCATCCACAGTGCTTATTAGCTTCCGTGCTGGCCGGTTTGGTTCATCAAAGACGTTAGGTCGGACCATCATATGTAACTATGTATCTTTGAATGTACAGTTACGGCTGAAAACAATTGTTGTTTTTAGCTGGACGTCACAATAATTTGGTCTATGGAAGAGCTAGAACAGTCTGGTAGGTTCAGAAAATGACATTATTTTACTTTACTGCTGCCTTTAAAACCAGGAAACGGCAACACTTACGATATTATGATATCCAGAATTTCACAGTATTGATATGTCAATATATTACTCAGCCCTACTGACGTATTTAAAAGGGTTAGGGTTAGGGTTAGACGTTCTCATTACGCTGGATGATCCACAGAACACCCTGCCATTAACAGTTTTAATAGGGACTATCTTTTGTTGCAAAGTAGTTCCAGTGAAACCTCCTCACAGCCTGGTCTATGGATTAACCAGTATGTTGTTTATGGGAAAACATGTAGCTGCTGAATGTTTCTAAGGTAGTTTTTTATGGTTGTAGGCATCACAGGCAAAATTCCAAGTACACAAGTTATAGTTTTCCAGGCTCTGACTTGGCTGCTCCGGTCGGCCTGAGTCAGGCTTGGCTGACAGAGAGGGAGAGACGGAGAGAGAGCAGTTCCATCACTCCTTCAGTACAATGCTGCCTTGTGTTACCACCCGGCAGGACGCCACTGTGGCGATGATGACGATTGCGCCCTCTCTGTTTCTGGCATCTACTGTATGTCTTGCTTTCTCTGCCTCCCTGACCGTCCCTATCCCCCTATCCATGGTGTGAAGGATTAGATAATAGGCAGCTTTAGTGTGGGCAGAGAAAGAGAGGTGTCACAGACCTCTCTCGTTGCTTCCCTCTCCGTTCCTCCCTCCATCTTCTCTTTCTCTCTCTCTTTGTACCATCTGCGCCATGAGGAGCTTGGCACCACACGATCTGTGAATGCCAAGCTAGATTTATGTTATCCTTACTGCACGTATGTGTGTGAGTGTGTGTGAGAGAGCGTGAGTGGAAGTCTCTTTCACAAAGACGTTGTTTACACGCATGTATGGTATCTTTACAATGATATAATTCTTACACTGTTTTTGTCACGGTGCTTTGTAAATGTCAGGCTTTTTATCGCACATCCAGGAATAGATGATGCATCTCACAAGTTATCTATTTTTCCGAACACTCAATGGGTAATCAGTGACAGCACCTCCGCTGATATTGACATACTGTAGATGCTCAGCCCGCCTCCAGTGTTCTCTCCAATAACTTGACACATCTTAAACACGAATTGCGAGAAATGTGTGTGTGTGTGTGTGTGTGTGTGTGTGTGTGTGTGTGGGGGGGGGGGGGGGGGGGGGGGGGGGGGGGGGGGGGGAGTAGGAGTATCAGCTGCCACTTAAAATAGTCAGTTGCGCAGAGTTCAGTTTATGATACTTTTTGGATAAAAGGAGAAGCTGTGACAAATGTTATCAATATGGATGTAATAAGGGATCACTGATAAAGAAGTCTAGCTCAGAGGTGGTGACAAAGAGCAGTTGCGACAGTAGAACTTAAAATAAGCTGTGACGATGGGGTCACTGGGTCATTCTCGCTGACTAATTGTTGGTCATTGTGTCACGCCTATAAAACAGAAAAGGAAAATTCTGCTCAAACTGTTACAGTGATGTTCAGTTCATTCCACAAATGTGTGATAAAATGCCAAAACTTGTTTGTGTTGTCTTCACCTTGTGCCAACCTGTCATGTCTGATTCCATTTGAATCAGTGATTTCCCAGGCTACCCTGAAAAACCAGATCTAGGGGCTGGGCATTATGAAGATATTATATCATTATCGAGATATGAGACTATATATCGTCTTAGACTTTGGATATCGTATTGGATATAGCATAAATAGTGTTTTTTTCCCCTCGTTTTAAAGGCTGCGTAACAGTAAAGTGATGTGAATTGATCAACTTACCAGACATTTCTATTTGTTTTAACTAGGGATGTCATATTACACTGATATCCAATAACCAATCAGAGCCGAGGACTCTCTCTCTTTCTTGACTCAGAAAACATATTTTCAGGAACATACTTTAGTGTATTGCTTTTTCTTTCTTTTTTTTAATAGCATGCCCCATTTGAGGATGACACAGTTGTATTTGTGCATATTGACATGAAAGTTCTCAGAGCTGTACCCGTCTCAGATTCGGCTGTTTCAAATGAATAATCAATGATTCGTTTTTGTTGCTTTTTTACATATT